ATAATGCAATTTCTTTACAAAAACGCAGTGACCTTTACAAAATCTAAGCTTACTTTATGCTTAGTTGCACTAAATAACTTGACCTGGGATTTATTCGAAGCAAGAACTCTAAAATTTATTTCTTTATACATTTACGGTAATTTTTTTATTCGTAAATTCCTTTAAAATTTTCCTTTCGTAAGTTTAAATAATTAAATCGCTAGTTATCATTTATTGGCGTTTACTTTAGAAAAAAGTTTGGGCATTTCTAAATAAAAAAAAATTCGCCCATTATTGGATATTATTAATTTAAATGAAAACGATACGAACGTAACAAAAATTTCATCGGCGATTGGTTCGTTCGAATTTAAATTTTTAAAATCTGAGTAGGGATTGGTTAATTTTCGTTTTGCTTTCATTTTTGTAAAAATATATTTGTTTTGTGACAGCAATTTAAATTTTTTGAGATTTAAAGTATTGAATTTTTTTAAACAATTAATAAAAATGAAATATAAAGTGGGAAAATCCATCTTTTATTGAATTATTTCAATCGATTTTACTTGTGACGTCACTGACCTAATTCGGGACGATACAAATGTACGATATTTAACCGAAAAAAATCGGTGTGATATTTTAAACGTAATTTACTGGAAAAAATTACGTATTAATTCCAAATATGCGATGCTGTACATGTTTCGTGTACAGAAATTCGGTTCTGAATGCTGCATTCAAAACTACAAAGCAAACATGTATGGAGTTTATACACATATTTCACCTTCACAAACTTTACGTATTAATCACGTGCGCGTAAAAATATGTACCGTACGTGACGTCAGTAGCGTAACTGAGATTTTGCTCTATGATGATAATGTGCAAAATACGGTACAGTATAATTAATCATTGTACAGTACCATAAAGCCTCTGGGAATCCAACAGCCTCATACAGTGGCACTGTATGACATCATAGCGTAGGCAATAATATCATCCTGTTAATTAAATATTACTTATACTTCAAATAATGAATAAATTCACTACACGCGTGTATTTAAGTGTGAGAATTTAAGACAGACAAACGGACGTACTGTACAACTTCATATATAAAAATCTTCGGCATTTATGCACGTTTTTTATATTAACAAAGGATAAAAACACCGAAACACGTGTTTTTCACGTGTTGAATCACAAAACTTGCGAAAGATCGGTACTAAAAATAGTCATTTTATTAAATAATTAGCAATAATCAAAATTTATGATTAAAAACCGATTAAAAGTAAGAATTTTTAGTGTAAATTCCTATTTATAAACAAAAAAAAAAAAAAGAAAAACCTTTGTACGAAACTCAACTAACGACCTTGACCACATCATCCGATCAGGTGATAACATCACATCTCTTCTACGTCACACGGCGCTTCCTGTCCTGATTAGCAGATCCGTCTGGTCTGAGATGATACGAATCGTTATTGGACAATTTCAAATCATCCGTTTGACGTGACAGTGTAGGTCGTATTGTGACATCACGGATTGCAAATGGCGGCCGCATTTAAAGGGTTGTTAACCGTATTCGATTTGTTAGAGTATTATAACAAAGCCGAAAGGTAGTATAGGTAAGTATTGTGCGCCGTTGATAATTGTTTATCGTATTTAATCATTAATTAATGTTAATAATTACAAAAGAAAGGTTAAAAGTATTTTTTTTAAGTTGACACTTGAAAGTTGTATTATTTTGATAGAAGTAATTATGCCAATGTGTTAATCACTGTTTACTGTATATATTATTATTTTGAAGCTTATTTATTACATATGTTGTATACAATAATGAAGTATGACATTTTCAGTTGTTGTGTTCTGACATTTTTACTGGTGACAAGCTTAATTATTTATAAAACATATGTTTTATACAATATATTATGCATATGACTAAGATGAGCTTATTAAAAAGTAAACAAATTATTATATATATAATAAATACAAGGGTATATATTGTATAATTTTCATGTTTTCAATCATTAATCTACAAAAATGCTGTCAGACTAATGAAATAATTGAAAATATGTTTCAGTTGAAAGTATAATAACATAGACCAGTGTTTCCCAACCTTTTTTGTGCTATGCCCGACCTAAGCCTTTCTAAAATTCTTATGCCCCCCTAACATACAGCAGCTATACTGTTAACTTAAACTTTGGACGAGTCCACTTTTGAATTGCCCCACGTTGGGAAACACTGACGTAGACTGATTTGGGCAGTAATTATCTATCAGTAGCATAACCTAAGAGACCCTGGCATACCTTTTCTTTTATAATTAAAGAAAAAAAATCTATTAAGTACAGGAAGATTTGAATGTGACGAATTCACTATACATGCGTATATACAAAATCGCTGATGCGGAGGCAAATGTAGATTTACCCGTTCTAATTTTGGCTCCTTAATATCCATTCTAGTTTAAAATATTGATATGGTAGTGTAGTTATTTTATTACAATGGAAAGCTCTTTAGTTTTCAAAATTTTCTGTTTAATAACCTGCCGACAAGTTTAATTCTCGTAATTTATAATCCCGCAAAAAGGAGTTGCCTATTTTCTACTTTGACCCATTTTATAACCAGATCAGATCAAGGATTATTGATAGATTTTATACCTCTGTTTTATTTATATTATTGTTGTTACTTGTATAGCCTAGAACATGCATAATCTCCTGAAGTTGTTTTCAATTTTTAATTAAACTTGTATACTAGCTATAAAATGAAAACAAAACAGCTTGCATTGCGTTTGTTTAGATTTGTGTATAGATTATCATTTGTAGGTCAGAAACCGGGTGGTTAAGTACAAACTACAAAGTTCGAAATGTAACAGATAAGGAGGATAAGATATCTGTTCATAAATATCCATTAGCCTTCTGGTGTAAATTTTTCAATTTTGTAATGATTACAAAATTTTTGTTTTTAGAATAATAAACATGAAGTGTAAAAATAGTTTGGTGTTGAGAGCAATCTGTCTTTTCACCACGGGTGCATTTCTCTCTTTGGTTTTGAATATGCTTCAGATTCAGCATCATCTTCCATCCTTCAAACACAAACTGGTATTAAAACTCCTCTATTCATCCTGGTGGGTTCCCACGATTTGTGGAATTGGATCGGGTAAGAATGTTATAATATTCCCGTGCTATACTTTTGGGACTTTAACATATGCTAAACAAAAATTCTAGGCATCTACAATAAGTATTTTTATTTCTTTCAGCAATTGTAGGATTGTTGTATCCGTGCTTTGACAGTAAACTTGGTGAACAACTTTTGGAATCGCCAGAATGGTCAAAAGTGATGAGATGCATCACGCTATTTGTTGGCATTAATCATGCTACCACAGTATCCTTTTACTAAATATATAAACATTTTACATTATTTGTATTATTATTATTAATTAATTTAATTAATTATTTAATAATTAATTAATCTGGGCATTAAGGGGTTAATATTGTATATTTATCCTTAATGTAAACTTAGAAAATAAACTTTTCTAGCAATTTAGAACTGTCAATATCTTTGGCAGTTTTGTCAATAGGTCTGTGGTGGGTGTTCGATCGCACCCGCAGTGGTTTTGGAATGGGAATTGGCATTGCCATTCTGGCGACACTGATGATTCAGATGTTAGTACAGCATGAATTCTGCAAGTAAGTTTGCCAAAGTCTAAAATTAATTATAGAATTAATGATAAATCAATTTATACTAATCATATCTTTTGACAGATTTACAGAGAGAGAATTTTTATACATCAGATCGTGGCTTCCTTCCATTGTCTTTTCTGGAGGTGTTACAATAGGAAACATTGGACGAAAATTAGCATTAGTAAGTTAAATTGTTCTATATTTTTCTTATAATCGAATCCAAGGTTTAATTCCATGTGTCAATAAATACAGATCGAGGAAGAGAATGGATCTAAAAAACATCAGGAGTAAATGAAGCATTGAGTGAAGAAGATTTTATTAGAATTTGTAGTCAGGGACTGTTTTTTTGTATTATTTATTACTTTTATAAATATAAACTGGCTTGTACATACGTTTAAACACAAATGTGCTTTTGCACAATGTATATAAATTCGGAAAAATAAATAATTTATTGGAGCTGGTCTCCTTACTACTTTAAAACTGAATTGATTATATATGAACTCATTTTCAATCAGATTAAAGCATACAAAAATTACATCTTACATTCGAGAAGAGAGTAAAGTTCTTTAATTATAGGAAATTCTTGATTTACATTATTTTTAAGACAACATTATATAATCTAGTGATTTAATAATTATCTGAATGACACAACAACAACCTGAGATAATCTAAAAATGGATGGATTTGATCGTAAAATGTTATGCCGTTACACAATAATACTAAGTCTTATCAAAAAGGGAAAAGAGTACACATACAACACTAAAATTATATAAACGTATACAAATTGGCTCTCATGAAAAAGAATTAAGAGTTAATATCGATTCGACGTAATTTCCTAAGCTAAAGACTATAAAAATGGCACCGAAATTATTGCAGCAACCCTATCGATCGGCCTCTCGCTCGGGATAAGTGCGATGTTAGGGATGAGTGGCAGAACTTTCTGTAATCTATCACTTGCAGATAGAATTGAGAAAGTCGTATTTTCGTGCCTAAATGAATGGCGTAGCTTGACCAATCATGATGGTCTGTTTTAAAACCTTCTATTGAAAATCCAATAAAAATTTTAATGTCAAATAGTATAACGATATCTAAAACGTGATCAAAATTTATGTATAAAAATATTTTGAAAGATTGGACGGAAACTGATCTTAAATGGAATGTCTTGACACATTAGTCCGTTAACTGATAGATTTAACTGTGCACACTCGACGCCCAACACTTAAAACTGTTGGAAGGGAGTGCCATGGTCACACAACGACAAACTTAAAATAGTGTCCTGAGTTTTAAAAAGATTAAAATAGTTCAAATCCATCTCAACTGTCGTAATGCTACCTTAGAGGCCTAATTAAATATGCAAAATATTATAGTTCCGTAGTCATGACGGTACGTCTTATGATGTGATTCGAAGCCGGGGCATCAATATCTGGAACATGCCATGGCGACAGCTGGTTCGAAGGTGGTATTATGGAATGGACAGATATTTGGCGGGCGCTGGCCGAGGACATTGACCGAGTTATCGGATGTGCACCCGCAAATGAAGTTTCCTGTCAAGATAATAAACGTATGTCAAACAACAAAATGTGTAACATAAGATGAAAGAACTTTACTCACCGTACAGATGTGTGTTTCTGAATCTGATATTTCATCGTCATCATCGACAGATTTATCGGAGAGTGCCTCATTTATCACTTCTTTAGTATCTGAATTTGTAGTTTTGCTAGACGATCCATTAACCATAATGACTTTCGTAGGCTTAAGACTAGATATTTTGGCCATGTCGAATTTGCTCGTATTTAGCGGAGATGGCGAAGTCGGAGGCGGCGATCTCTTTGCCAAAAGGGGCTGCGTATCTTCATTTTCAAATTCTTCTTTATTCTCACCACTGTCGTTTAACACCGTTTGAATTTTAGGGGTTTTCTCATTTATCTGTTTAATCAAAGTTTCCATGAAGGTACTATTTTGAAGGTTAATACATAAAGTTTTTTAGAAAATACTTACAATAGGTATTGTATCCAAAATACACTTAGTATCTTTGCTGAAAATAGAAGAGAGAAAACCTTAACTTAAATTATAATGAATTACCAGACATATTCACGACCAAGGATCAAGAATTAGAAGTTAATCAATTATTGTTCTCTTTGCTATTAGTACTTAAACATTTAATGGTTAACCTCTAATGTTTGATCCTTCTTTGTGAATATGGCCATATGTAATACAATATAAAGCACATATCTCAAAAAATAAAAATAATAAATAAAATAAAACATTTCATAAAATTTAAACAATAGGATTGGTAATATTTTTAAAAATTTGTAAATTCTAAAAATAAATAAGATTATCTCCAGACTAAAACAAGTAAAATTACTTTCTTATCTGACTTCAAGAGATTCAGTTAAGCAAACAAACAACGAAGAAATACTAAACTTATTGGTAATTAAAGTTTAGTATTTTTTCATTATTTGTTTGTCTGCTTAACTGAATCTCTCAAAGTCGGATAAGAAAGTAATTTTACTTGTTTTAGTCTGGAGATAATCTTATTATTTTTAGAATTTACAAATTTTTAAAAATAAAACAAAGCAATGATCTTACTTCTCTAAGACCACAAAACATTTTTTATGGAATAATTGAATAAAAATTTTTAGAGGGTGGTCCATCTGAATATATCAGGCCTTGTCCCTTATACCACACAGCTGCCCATTGTGGGCCAGGCTAAACCCATAATGACCTTGCCAAAAAGAATCCCTCAGTGCCCACAGAGTAGAGTTAGAAAAGAAAAAAAGCCTGTCACAAACATATTTCAGTGAAAAGAAGTTGATTATTCACCTACAAAACTGCTGATGACAAAGATGCAATGATTATTTTCTGCTGAGAAAACAAACTGCATATTTGATAATTTCTAATTTTAAACTTGAACTTAGTTTAAAATTATTTAGAATATAACAAGCATTTCTAAATATAAAATAAATATTCATCACGATCAAAAGAGATTCTTTTTTTTAAATTAGTGTCGAGGCAGCGAATTTGGAGTAGCAGACTGTGCATTTACCACATTCATCACTCCAAGAGCCTTAGATTGAAGTCTAGATTCTCAGATTTTCATGGAAGATTTGATCCAGACATGTTAGGTTCCATCACACCACACATAATCACTCCATTGAGAATCTAGTCAAAATTGCGACAGACAAGAAAGAAGACATTTCCGGTGCCTGCAGGGCAAGAAGGAAAAATTGGCATAGACAATTGACAAACTTTTTAGATATCATCAATGAAATACCATGACATCTCTTATCGGGTGTGGCTAATCTCCAATATTTAGTTCTTGCATATTCTGCCATTTTATGGTTTGGTTCTAGTTATATTGATATGTTATCATTTACTTTATTCTCAGATGAATGGAAAAAAACAGGATCTTAACAATTAATGAGAAAAATACAATCTCCACAACGTTTAAAAATATTTGTCAAACTTTCTAATTGCATCCATTTTCACTGCTAATATTATCCTTTATCGATTCTTTGTTGCACTTTCATCCTTATTAGCCACAAATTCCCTCTTTTGATTACTCATTTTTGTAAAATATGACTACAAGTGGAAAACAAATTGTTAAGGATTTTTACAAGAAGTGAGAAAGAAGACTGCTGAACTGTTTTCTAGTAAGACATTTAACATCTAATAGCCATTTGTTTACAATGTGAAACTCCAATTACTTGGCTCATTATTTATTAGTCATTTAAACACTTATTGGCAATAACTGCGGTGCAAGATAAAAAAACATGGATTCAAAAATGCATGAAATAATGTCATACAACAAATTCTAGTGGCTTTCACTCAGATAAATTTAAAATTTCAACACAAGGTTTGATGTCTGTGCATAAACTGAACAACAGACATGCAGCAACTTTGAAAGAAGAGATGCAAATGGACACCAATCATGATGCACATCTATTATTTAGTCGTTTGTGGACTAAAGCATTAGCAGCAAAGTCTGTACATTATGCAATTATTTACAGTTACTACAGTAACTAAATTTCACATATATTGAACTGCATAAAGCAAGAACAGCCCGTACTGTTTTTTTTTTTTAACCACGCTACATTTAAATCTCACACATCTTGTTTTTATGTAAACAACTTCTCTACTTCCTCTCTCAACAGAGCTTCCAGACGAAGGAATTTCTCAAGAAGAGAATCCACATTAAATTTTAAACCTTTGTGGTTAAATATAATTTTTTACACAATATAACATAAAATGCATTTATGTTATGAGCAATATTTAGAATGTTTTAAAAATATATCATTAATTCTTTTCATTAATTGAATTTCTCATATCTTTTTGTATTTTTATTCTAACTCTTTCTGCCCTGTGGGCAGTTAGAATAAAAATACAAAAAGAGCATCTCTTTTCAGCAAGCCCATTATGGGTTAAGCCAGACCCACAATAAGGCAGTTGGGTGGCAAAGGAGGGGCTCAGTTATCTGAAAAGACCACCTGCCAAAAATCCTCCGGGTATTTTGACCTGTCCAAATTTGATCACAGGTCCCCCACGGTGGTAGGCTGCCATCTCAGCCACCAGACCTTGCAGTCATCTCAATCTTTTTGCATCTGTTAAAGTAAAGACAGAATGGATCATAACATACTCAAGCATCATCATTTGTGCATAATGAAACTAATAAGCCAGGATGACTCCTTTATTGGAAACTAACTCTGTTATATTTCTTCACATGACTGAAACACAAGGTCAAATTTTAAACAGATCATTCAACTTAGCATATTTTTTGCTAATATATTGCATATTTTATTTTTATTTTGCAATTATTCCCTTCAGCAATACATTAATCTAACAGATTCCAATTTAAAAGCAGCTCGACTATACCAGCCAAGTGAAATTTGACAATGCACTGACTTGATATAATTTACATCCTATATTTAGATATACATCAATTAATTAAGGTATTTAGTTTTTGTTTTATTATATGGCATTATTTAACACACGATACATTTAATTAATTGGATATTTTCAGGCTACAATAATAATGATTCAACTAACAAATGTAGTCTAATTTGTATATCTAAGTCAAATTTGTTAATAATCAAACAATAATGCTTGATCCATTATCAGGCTATAACATGGCTAATTAAATATACAAGTATTACGTAATTTGGACTTAAGGAATACTGTAAATTAATTAATATAAATTTAATATAAGACAGTGACTTAATTGCCTACCTTTACTCAAAATTACATAACATCTGATTATGTAATTTGGTTACATGTTATCATCTAATTATGACTATATAATTTGAGTTTGGTTTACTATATGATTTTATATATATATCAAATTTGTTAATTTAATCAATCAATATCATAATAGCCTAGAATCCAGTCAATTTACATTGATTAAAATTTGAGATTTGATTTAACATAATTATATGTTAGAATTGCATATTTAAAGTTATACTGAAATTTTTATGTCATGTTATAATATTATGTAATAAAAATTATATATATATTTAGTGGTATCTTATACTTCAAATGTTATAGAGTGCAAATATTAAATTCAAGAAAAATTTGACCAGAGTTCAAACAGTGTTTCTACATTCAAACTGCACATACAGTGAAAAAACACGCTTGCTGAATAAATACCATCTGTTTTGCACCCAAGGTGTCTCTTGCTCTTGATATGAAAGCATCTTTAGTGTTACACGCATGTGTTTTCAGTGTGTATAATTATACATATGACTCATACCTTGTATATTAACTCTATTAACTAGGGTATCTAAGAAGTGTGTGAAAGCAACAAAGCCTAAGAAAAAGATTGTAGTATTGACAATTGAGGTGAAAAAAAATTTATCACACAGCACAAAAGCAGTACATGTGTGACAGATCTCACCCAATTAAGATGACATCATGCACAGTTCTTAAGAACAAGCAAACAATAAAAGCAGCAAATATGGCTAAAGATTGATAATGTTGACCTCCAGGAGATGCATATTATTGACAAGTTGAACTGTCACTAACATTTATGGATAATGAGAAGCACTTAGCTGGTTATATTATCTCCAAGAGGATTATTTGTAAGCCAAGCAGTGCATAGTAACCTTAAGATATGCAACATCACCACTCCTCATTAAGGTATAGGAAATACAGTTTTCATTTTATTATACAGTATTTACTTTATTGTTTCCATGTTATCTATCAATCAATCAGGGCATTTAATAGTGTTATTTTTACCTTAAATTTTGTACATTTGCTGTTTAAGTTTATTGAAATAGATATTGTTTAGGTACTGGAAATGGATTAATTCACTTTCCATTATTTCTAACATGGAAAAATGATTTACACCACCTCAGATAAAGCAGACAGCTGTGGCCATTTCAGATTAAAAAAAAAAAAAAACTATTCAATACACTCCCTTTTTCACTTACTGTGTGTGTTGGTGCTGCACACTACATCTTTAGTAAACCTTATAAAGGCTTACTAAAAGATGTAGTGAGCAGTACCAACAATAGCCAGATAGACAGGCAGTGTGCAGTTGCAAAAGGGTGAGAAACTTATGCCTGCATTCCACGGTCACCAACTCCTAAACAGTACAGTCAGGATTAAAAGTACTACAGTATTTACAGCTACTGGTGTAATTACTAATATAAAAGTAGTGTATTATACTTACTGGCTGGTCTTGGATAATGTGAAACCTCAGTTAATCAGGGCTTGGATTATTGAAATGTGTACATACACACACTCAATTTAACAGTATAATTGAAACTTTTTATATTGTTTACATCAGTAATAAAATTGGTTTATATAAATATCAACTATCTGAAACCCAACGTATTGATATTAAGCCAAAATTATAGCATATCAATAGTCCAATTAATTATGAAAATCATTTGGCTTAGAAATTGGTATAACTTTCTATTGAAATATCAATATTTAAGTAATAAATAATCATTTCTTTTAGTCAAAGTTTAGTTACCTCAAGTAAAAGTTTTGAATATCATCATCTTTAAAACAAAGTAGATTTCATTTGTTTATATCTGGTTAAAAATTCAATATTTATTATTTAATAATTATCTCAAATAACCAGTTGGTAGGGATATGAGGCTCATATCCCTACCAACTGGTTATTTGAGATAATTATTAAATTAATTT